TGTGTGTGTGTGTGTGTGTGTGTGTGTGTGTGTGTGTGTGTGTGTGTGTGTTAGTGTTTTGTTGTGAATTCTCATGCGTGTCTGACTTGGTAATTACAGCTGGTGGCAGAAAGCTCAAGGCATTGATAGACAAGATGCAACAAGCCAAACGATAACTCAAAACAGACAAAGGCAATAAATTGAACATTGTGAATAACACAATTTCTCCCCTGTTCTCTTCAAATGGTTTACTTCCACATCGATACAACTTAGATCCTTTAGAAAGTGGTTCTCTTCACCCCTGCCAGTCATGACATTCGGGACCAGCTTCAGACAGAGATCCATGACCAAATAATTCCTTAGTGAGATCGACCCACATGTTCAGGTTGCAGCAGTGAAAATGATTAAGCTTTACACAAGGAGACTAAAAGTAAAGCTGTACACCACTGACGCAGGTGGCATTTACGTTTAAAGAAATATAAAGTGAAGAAGTTTTAAGCCCCAGCCGACTCTTTTTATTTTTAGGGCATTAAGGAGACAGGCTGTTTTGACACTGGATGTCAGGGCCACTTCGGGCTAAGAAGGATACAGCATCCCAGCAGACAGACGGAGACACTCACATGAGAATCGAACTCAGGACTTCTGCGTGCTGCGGTAAAAGCTATAACTTCTACATCAAACACACTGGTAAGGGTGCTCTTTTTAAAAAATATAAGTAATGACGCAGGTGTCTCTAATCTGTCCCATATTTCTATGAGCATAAATTACATTATTCCCACATTTTGTATGTACATTTTTGTGTTTAAGTATACATGTATCTAGATATGTGTGCATGCTTATGAATGCCACTGTAACCCAAATTTCCCTACGTGGATCAATAAAGAGAAATTTATTTATTATATTTTATTTATCTATTTCCCCCTTCCGGTTTCTCCAACGTCTTAAAATGCATGTCTCTCATGCAAAAACCTCCGCTTCCGATCATAAAAGAAAAGCCCATGCGAATGTGACATCGAGATAAACTCGTAAAGTTTCCCCGTGCAGCAAAATTCAGAGCTCTCCAGATCATGGCTTTGTCTCGTACGAAGTTTTGTCGTTCAACAGTACCCCTATCCTTGTTTTAAAAAAAGAAGGCAAACGGTTCATTTCTTTTCTCTTTATTCAACTTGTTTTTCTTAGAAAGGTCGAACGTCCATAAATAGTTGATTGACAGACGTACAAAAAGTATGGGGTTCCTGCTTTTTATGGACTCAGGTGTAGAGCAGAGTGCTCTAATGACCAACTGAAACTTTCCGTGAGTATTTCTACCCAACTCTTTTATTGATTTCTATTTACAGGGTGATCCATAAAAAATACTCTATAACTTTTTTTTTTCTAAATACCTCGCGCAAATGTTGTCCAAGAAAGAAGCAATTTGGAACAGATAAACTTCATTCAAAAAGAATTTGTTTGACATAAAATTCATACAGAAGAAACTTATTTTCAGAACAGAAAAAGCCTACAAAAAACAACAACCCATAAACGCAAAATGCGCCAATTTTTAAAAAAGACACTCTCGCAAGGAAAGACATGAGACGAATGATTTGATTTTTGTCTTCTTTTTTTTCAAAAACATATATTTGTTCCTACCCCGTGACATTAAACAATATTTAACTTCTCTTAGGGAGTTAAAGAACTAACATTTTTGTTCTGGAATTTCTAAAACAAATGCTCCACATGTCCTCCTTTGGACTCCAAACATCTTTTAAAGCGTCGTTTGAAATGCTCGATGACGGCCAAATACAGTTCCCGCGGAATGTTTCTCACTATATCACGAATAGCTTGTTTCATAATTTCAATGTTTTCAAACTGGTTTGGAAATATCCTGTCCTTCAGATAACCCCACAATAAAAGTCTAAAGGATTCAGGTCAGGAGAATGCGGAGCCCACATGTGTTCACTTCTGCGACTGATCTCATGATCTCCAAAGTGCTCAGCTAGCCATGTCATTAATCTGACAGACATGTGTGGATTGGCCCCATCTAGCATGAACCACTGGTCTTGGCGATCCAAGTGCCGTGTCTCCCCAGAATTCTCTCCAGAATTTAATTTGTTACGACATTCTGTGGTAATGCGTACTGGAGCGTTGTGTAATAAAAGGGGATAAAAGCAAAAAAATGCAATGTTTTTTTAATACGCATTATACTTCAGAATTATTTAGTGGAATCATCCAAAATGAATATCAGTCAAATTCCTTTTGAATTAGGAATAGTGTGTTCAGATTTGAAGACGAAAGCTTCAGTGTGGAGGAAAATATTTACGAAAAAAGTTGTTAAGTTCTTTTTTGGATCACCCTGTATATTATTATGGCCTTGTTTAGAGTCTGTTGAACACAACTCAACTACGATCCTCCTACCTACCCGGCCCCAACC